TCTTCGATGATTATTTTGTGTTCAGCTTTTGGCTTGCATGCTTTGCACTTTACCACTGGTTTTTGCACACTTTGCATATGGTGTTGCATCATTGAAATGCAGGCGACGTTTCTTTTTACTAAAGCATGCCAACGTACAGTGCCTGCAAGTCAGATACTCTCAAGTCAGACATGCTTGAGTACACGGAGCAGCCTTCAACGCCAAAGGTTGGTGAAATTGAATTCAAAGGTGTACAAAAACTTCTTTGTGTTTACTGTTAAACTGCCTTTGGGTCTGCTGGATCTATGCGCCAGCTGAATGATGATTGTGACACGTTGGATCCCTTCTAAACGCATTTAGTTTGGAACAGATTCTTGCCCATTGACACCTTGTCTTCATCGAATTTGTGAAGACATAGTACGTAGGCTTGCGTATTGACAACGAGCAGCTACAGCAACCTGAATCTGTCTGTCCCGCTCTAATCCTACATGATATTTGTTTTTTTCGATCACCATTTTTTACATAAAATGCATGGACTTGACAACATGATCCACATGTATATCAATTCCAGTTTTTGCACGTGTCAATCACAGGTCCTGTATCTCCTTTATCTTCACCTCCCCTTTGCAAACACGCACGTTGTGAAATACCATGAGTCCAGCGTGCATCCTAGCCATGTTTGAAACGTGCGCATCAATCTAGATGCTGCAATCAATTTCAAATCAGCGATGTTCAAAACCCTCTGTTGTTTGAAGATTGCGGGCGGCTTTACCAGCCAGTGTATTGGGGACTATCAGGGCGCCCCTATCAACCAACCAGCATACTGCAACCAGATGGGCCTTGAACACCGCTGATGTGAATCGTCTACATGAATCGATGTTTGGCACATTTTGGCACCCTGTATGGTAAACAACAGCTAATTTTTTAAACAGGATGTCTGCAATGAGAAAGGAAGACACGCAAGATAGGTTTCTATTATAGTTCCGGGCTGTTAACCTTTTCGGGCCAACTGCAAGGAATCATTGCCAGCCTGTGAATCACTGGCAAATAAGCTCAGTCACCATCTTCATGTGCCCTTATAAAGCAAGTTTCTTGTCAGCAAAATGTGCAAAACGGGTGACCGGTTGGGAACACCAATCAACAAAGTGGTAGGTTTAATTAGGTTTCTATACATGTTATTTTTCCTAAGAGAAAGTACCAAGACTAAGGTCACCAAACGGGCGCGCTATTGAATATGGTTGGGATTTTGCTTCAAAATGAGTATTGCGCTGTTCTACTCAGATATTCTTCCCCAAGCCCAGCTCTAATTATGAAAATCTACTCCGGTAATAAACGTATTTTTTGTATAGGCACCGCATGCTGACCCATGACAAGGTGATATTTCATAGGTGAAGCTTGGGCAGAGGTGCTACGTCAAGAACTGTTAAGCCAGACATGCTCGAATACACAGTCAAGCCTTTCACACCAAAGGTTGATGAACTTGAATGCCATAACTTGCAAGGACCCCATCGTTTTTGCGTTCTCCTTGTGTTCAATTTGTTTGAATTTTGCGCCGGCTAAAAAATCAATGATCTCAATGTCAAGTACTACAACTTGGCGCACTAGATGCATGGTCGCAGGTTGAATCTGGAAGGGTTTCTAGGAAGTCTTGTTTAAAAACAATAAAAAATGTAGTCACAATGTTCACCCAAAACTACGAGGAATGCTTTTTAGCACATGGCACCTACTTTGTCAACAGCGCGTGGGTTATGTAATGTTGTACCACATTCAGAAAAGGAATCTAGCTCACTCACTCTGTGCGGAATAAAATTCATGGACTCACATACTGATAATTCGTCATATCCAATGCTTGCACATGTCCCACGTGTTCTCTCTAACCCCAATACACACACACAGACACGGTGAAATTCCATATGGACGCAATGTGCAGGAATTACCAAATCAATATTCAGCGTATTCGAAAAATTTGATACAATCGGCGATCATATTGAAGGAAGGAAAGCCAATCAACTTTTCTTCCTAAACACTTGAATCGAAACAAGTTCCAAAGAGTTGAATATAAGTGTAGCCTAGATTCTCCCCTTCTAGATACCAATTGGAACCGAAAATCCAGACGTACAGTGGGACTGGGGAACCCCACGGAGCGGCTTCCTACAGAGGCGAGACATATAGGAAGGGGTTTCAGAAACCACATAAAAGGGAAACACTTTTTCCGCACCCCTAGCTCCAGACAAAAGGAGTTCATCTCCGGACAGGGCGGGGGATCAAAAAGAGAATAAACCATTTGTTCCCTGCATTGTCCGGGGGAATATACTTATGCACAGAAACATCAAAGAACCCCGAATTGAGATTCACTAAATTTGTCCAAGTTGTGACTTTAGCAACATGAGAGCTCATGGGCTGTCAAAAAAAACTGCTGTTGTCTCAAACCCATTGATCGAACACAATTCAAGTTGAATGCTGCCAGCACACGAAACACACCCATTTAGCCTTGCCCGATTCAGAAAGCATGGCGCCCATCTGGGAAAGAACATACGAAAAACTGATTTGGTTGTGACAAACGCGCTTCGGCATCATCAAACCATAGCCATATGTATATCTATGTCTACACCATACCCTATATAACTCTGTCTCGTGCATGATCGTCGCCGTCGTCCTCGTCATCGCCGTCATCGTCGTTCTCACCGTCGTCGTTGTCGTCCTGGCCACGTCGCCATGTCGTCGCCATGTCGTCGCCATGTCGTCGCCATGTCGTCGCCATGTCGTCGCCATGTCGTCGCCATGTGGTCGCCGTGTCGTCGCCATGTCGTCGCAATGCCGTCGCCAAGCCGTCGCCATGTGGTCGCCGTGTCGTCGCCATGTCATCGCAATGCCGTCGCGATGCTGTCACCATGCCATGGGCATGTCGTCGTCATGTCGTCGTCATGCCGTCGCCATTTGCACCAACTAAGCTTGCCACAGACCCCCTGGTACATACTAGAAACCTCTGCCCACAGGCTTCTAGAATCTAGATAATATATATATATATACATTAATATCATGCACACTTAAGTTGCGAATGCAAAGGACCAGAATATGTTTTGGTGATGGAACCCTAGGGCGGCAACTTGTCTTATCACTAGAAATCGATTCGGATTCTATTTTTGGGCTTGGGGAGTACGATCATCTGATACAGGACGGTGCCCCCCAGTTATGTTTGTCGGTTTATAAACCATTATAAACCGCCATGAATACTGTAGTTGAATCAGTTATATCTACCATAAACCATAGTTAAGCCACTGATTATAATAAGGCAACTTAGCTATCTTGGGGGCCCCATCCTGTACCGAGCAATTTTTGGTCAAGCTAAATGACAGCACGACCTTGGATCGGACCTAAACCAGCCAACTTCAGGCACTGTAAACAGAGCAGGTCTGGTTTACGATTACCATCTTGTTATTTAACAGTTCGCCATGGAAAATCACCATTTTATAGCTAGGTAAACCATCTATTTCTATGGGCCATTTCCCATGGCAAACTGTTAAATAACCAGAGGGTAATCTCTTCCCCCTAATGCTAAATGGGAGACTCATGAGGGTATGTAATGAGGATTTTTTGTGGTTAATTACAGTGAATTCGGGCCAAAATTGATGACCATTGGAACCCATTCGTATGATAATCCATGATGGGAATATAAAAGGAATATCAGCAACAATGTGGGAATATATTGGGATAATATAAATTGATATAAATTGATATAATGTGATGTACTGATGTATAATCCATTCCCTTTTTTTATGAACCCTCTAGAAACCATGGTGGATGTGATGACACATCTAATTTTTGGACCATCCAATAGGACTTCCAAAATTTGGCCAAGATTTACTTCAATCCCCAAGAAGTCAGTATTTTAATGTTTCAATCATATAAATTTAATCCAGTAATTCTTTATCAAAATACTGAAGTATCCCCTAATTTTGATTCGTTAAATGTAAACTGAAACCGACAACTAGCAAGGTAACAACTCGGATGTTGAAGTTCACGGTTTTTTCTTGCACAAGATGAAACCTACAATGGTAATACCCTCAAGTACTACAGATATTCTAGAAATGGTGAACACATCAATATTAGTCAATATTGGCGAGCTTGCCCAAATTACCATCATATCTACATTGTAGTCAAATTAAATCCCCATCTAAATTCCTTATTCCATTCGAAAACCCACATGATCCGCATCGAATCGGTATAAGTGAAAAAATACGAAGAAAACAAGAGAAAGTTGACTCACAAAACTTGGATATTCGCAAGGTGGGGTCCCCAGATATACCAATATGGTATAGGATGATGGATAAAGCCAATATCCCCAAATATCCTATACCATGATGGTTTAAATAATTCCTTATTGTAACTCCCATTATTGGAATATTCTGAAAGGTGGGGTCAATGATAGCGAAGTTGACTCACAAAACTTGGTGAACCTTTGGTTTGAGGATATAACTACAGTTGCCCTTTGGTAAGCCAACATAGCTAATAGCTATCGAAAATGACCATTTATAGTTGATTGACCTATAAAAATGGTGGTTTTCCATAGGTATGTTCGTTTACCAGGGGGTAATGGGGGTTCAAAACCAACAAACATCACTACAGGATGGTGCCCCCCAGTGATGTTTGTTGGTTTATAATCCATTACAACCCCCATGAATACTAGTTCGTTATATCTACCATAAACCATAGGTTTTTTTCGCCACTGAAATAAGGCAACTGAACACTTATACTGCGGAATTTTGGGTTTATAAACCCATTAAATCCCATTAATCAGTAATTCTGCAGATTCCTCATTTATTGTTTATTCATTCATATTGATTCTCAATATCTCAATTATTCACTGGGTTGGTTTAAGGGAAAATTTACAGGAACCCCCCATATTTAATGGTAAAAACCATGGTTTCCTGTAGATTTTCCCTTAAACCAACCCAGTGAATTATAACTCCATAAACCAACAAACATCACTAGGGGGGCTGGGGCCCCTGTAGCGTTGCCAGGCGGTGGAGCTCCGCTCCCAGGGGGACCTGACGAAGGCGGAGATCACGGAGCGCTTTGCCGCGGAGAAAATGCGAGCGGCGGAGGCCAAGGAGCGCGGCTGCGGCAATGGAGGTCGTGGGAATATGATGGGAATATAGTTTTGGACACTCCGAAACTATCCGAAACTCTTCTTTCCATTCAAATCCCAATCGGGTGTGCCGGGTTTCCAACGATTCTCGTTGGTCTCGTTGGTGACCAATCGTGATGCGGCAAAGCCAATCATATTTATCATCCCAAGTAGGGGTCATATCCGACAATAAACCAACATTGGGGATGGTGACTAGTATACTTCTCCCATCTTATCCCACTATTGTCCCCCAGTATCCCATATACCCACGGGGTAAACGTTTACATAACTATGGAAAATATTTTTTTTTAATGGGCAAATCAACTATTTCTATGGCCATTTTCAGTAGCTTTTTGTATGTTTACCAGAGGGTATTTTTGGGTTTAACACATTATCATGCTTGGTGGTTAAATCCTCAACTTCCAACATGCTGCCGGTCTTGCCAGACCGCAGGAGGATTCAGTGAAAGATCACTTGGCAGCGGCCAAAGCAAGCGTAGAAAAGGCAGAAGATGAGGGCGTCTTGGATCGATTACATGAATGTTGCATGAATGATGGTGATGGGGGGACACATCCCACGAATTACTCACATTTCAAGGTGGTCGGAAATATATTCCAGGTCTTCCCAGGTAGTGGGTACAAAGTATTTTGCAATTGGAGAGCAACCAAGTATCCAACAAAACTGGGCTAGAATAGGTTTGTAGTCACTGGTCTGGTTGGGTGCTTTTAGGCTATGCAATGTACAGATGTACGTAATTACATGGGTTTGTCCAAAAATGGGGTATATACATGTATATACCCCCAAGTTCTTCAAGTTGTGGCCATTCTAATCGGGACATGAATGATGAACTGATTAACCAATGGATTTAGGGATGCCTTTTATGATATTTTATCCCTGTTCTCCTGAAAACGGGTTAACCAATGGATCTTCCGAACATGGGATGGTCGGCTTGCTAAACCTCGGGTTCCAGACGTTATAACAGCTGCGTGGTGCTTTCAAACTCTAACATATATGACATAATTGACACACCTAAATATTGGGAGGATGATCCCTATGTTTGGCTTTATCTAATTATATATATCTACTTCTTACGTATATCTGGATGTGTGGCTCTACCACCAACCTTGGATTTCTGGGTGCCTATTTTTTTGGGGGCAGAGTCTCAAAAAATTATAGAATCTTTGGCCCCTTATGTTCAATACCTGGTGAAATAACCCTAGAAACACTGCTTTAGTATTGGATCTATTCATTTTGGGGGTCCATGTATCGGTGATATTTGTATTAGGGGATAAGGGGGGATGGGATTCTTGTTTTCCAGTTGAAGGGCCTTCCAAAAAAATCAGTTCACGGCCGACTGCCAGAAAGATCCATCCGAAGACAACACGTAAGTCTTGTGCAGTATGGATATGTCCATCAGCCTTAAGAGTACATCAAATTGCGCTCGGACAGGTGTCCATTTCTGGGACCCTGGGACGTAATCCGTGGGTAGATTGCCCAACATATCCCTTGATTTACCCAATTTTGGACCAGTTTCATCCATTCTACATGATCTTTCCGGTCACTCGGACTAGTCGGACATCTCGCAGGTTACCTGGAGCATGCACAGGCTGGGACTTGGGCGGTGAAAAAGCTTGGCGAAGAATGGCGCTTTGAGCGCTTGGAAAACTATGCCACATAGCAAAGTTTTTGTACCTGGTATAGAGGTCATGTTATGCATGTGACATGTGACATGTTGGGTATCCAGCTTTTCAACCTGATTGGCTTCGGAGATCTACATCCTATGAATCCAAAATGGAGATCCAGTGGATCTGATTGCTCCATCTGCCATGCTTCTGTTTCCCCGGCTCTGACTACCCTCTGGTAAACGTTTACATAACTATGAACAATCACCATGCTTTTCATGGGTAAACCAGCTATAAATTATTATAAATTGGCATTTTCAAGTTCGCAAACTGTTCAATCTCCGGAGGGTATCGGCAAAAACCAGCTGGATGGCTTGATGACACCGAATTTTGTACACAAGTATCACCAGGCCTGACGGCCAAATTTGTGCCTTTTTTTGGGCATGATGTTTACATAGGGTTCCCCACCACCCTGGGTGTGTTTGAACATGGGGCACATCAACTAGCAATTTTTATGGCACATATGATATCATATGAGAATGAACCAGGAATTTTCGGGCAACTGTACCATTTTTTCACGCAAACCCAATATGGATCAATATGGAGGTTTCCTAAAATTGGAGATCCCCAAAACCATGGGTTTGAAGACTAAAATGGTCCAATGTTTTGGATGAGAACTGGGGGTACCCCTATTTCAGGAACCCACCATCTGGTCAATGGTTTTCCATCCCTTGGGGTCACCACCTACGATTTACAGTACTGATTTTGATGATTGAAACCACCAATTAGATGAGTTTCAGCATTTCATGGCAACTGACAGGACTCCCCAGTCAACGAACCTATGTAGGAATCGGGTGTTCCTACCTTATTCCTGATTTAACAGATTCATTGGTGAGAAGCAAATACATCAGGTGGGTTGCAACCAACAATTGGGGGTTTCCAAAGTCATGGGGGTACCCCCAGTTCTCATCAATTCTCGGATTTTCCAGCAAATGAACTCTCCAGCGAGCTTGGGGATCCTCCATGACTATGGAAATTCCTCGTGAATTTACAGTCACCTGATATTGATACCAAAATTCAGACATGAGGCCATCGATGCTGCTCTTCAGAGCTAAAGGTCAACAGCAATCCACGACAATTTATAGCCATTTCAGCGCATCACTGAACTATATAATTCCGGAATATTCCGGACATGTCCTCATTCAATCGATCTCACGACCTTCCGCACGTTGTTGCGGCAAGAACTAAAGGCTATTGCAGACACAAAATTGCGCAGAAAAAACCAGGCGAAAAATGTATGATCATCTCTATGCCATTGGGACTCTATGTGCCAAAAATCACGAACCCCAGTTGCAAAATTCCGATTCGGCAGAACGGTATGAAGCATTACCGGTTAAGCCAGAGGCATTGTTGCTCCCGTGCCCATTTCAGATGGCAGATGAATGCGGTTCTGAAGTTTAAGTAGATCAGCTTGGGGGCAACATATTCTGCAGTGGGTTTTTCAGTCCTGAAATCTTAACATGGTATGATGATGGTGTGAATCCCACCACCCAGTGGATTAAGCTACTCATATCATTTCGAATAACCACAGGTTTAGCTACACCAGTTAAACTTGCGTCCCATTGACAAAGTTTGGCAGTCGCCATCTACCCTTGGCCAGGACGTTTCTGCTTGTGCTAGCGCAATTGCGACATAGAATCCAATGTTGTTTTTTCTTTGACCCCTGCTGAAAAAGTTGTACAAACCCCATTGCCAAAATACTACGATCGAGCTTGCAGAAACAATGAGTAAGTAGACGCGTGGTATTGCCGAACCACCGAAAACTGTTCAGATCCTCAATGACTCTTGACATTCTAACATAGAAAACCCAAGCAGACCCCAAAATTAAAATATTCCCTTTAACCTTGCTGGCTCATACCAAGGGCTGGTATTGGCCAAGGATGCTATCTTACTCGACAAGACAAGCGCTTTTTCATGGCATACCGGCATAACTACAAGAATCATAATTTCTGGCAAAAAGAGAAGAAAACATCTCAAAAAACCAATAAAGAATGAAATGGCCAGAAACGATACAAACCCTGCAAGACCCTTTGGCTAGTTGCAGTTGAAATGCCGAGTGAAATAGGTCAGAGATGGTCAGAGCAAATTCAAACACCCTCTTGACAAACTTGAGGACAATTCGTACAGACAATTAATAACTAATTCCATTAGTTAGGTGTTCCCAACAGGTGGCTGCCGATGAAGCGGTGCAGAACGTCAAACTGCCAGTGCGTTACCAGTGCCTTGTCGCTGGTGAAGGCGCACATGATGCGAGAACTTGAAGCCTCCTGTTTGCCTAGCATTCTGGCCAAAAAAATATCTTGTTTGGCAATTTTTAGGGACTATGGCCCGGACAAATGTGCGATTTTCAGCAGTTGAGAAACCTTACATATGGCAACGCTTGAGCACACAAGCGTTCTGACTTGCAGCCCCTTTCTGGTCATGCGTGATTTTTAGGGCACGCGCCACCGTGCCCCCCACTGAGAAGGGTCTTCTCTTAGGAATTTCATTTGTTCCAATCATCTTCAGGAGTGTCGGATGGTTGAAATGTCAGAGAAAAATGCCAACAAGTATGTATGGATGGTCAAAGAAATTGGGCCCATGCAGTTGCCAATTGTTTCCAAAAAAATGAACACCCTTAAAACATCTTAAAACTAAAATCATGTAAACTGGACAGATATTGGAGCATACCACCTAAGCCATTCTAAAGCCACGTTTGCCGCTTGGCACATCATCATTCCCAAATCATTTAACTGTTGACTGTCCAAGGTTGGCCATCCATTGTCAAGGATAATTTCAATCATGTTGGTTCTAAATCCTAGAATCCCCTTATATCACCATGATATCCCCATATACCCTCTGGTAATTTAACAGTTTGCGAACTTGAACATGGCCATTGAAATAGTGGATTTACCCATTAACAATGGTGATTTTCCATAGTTATGTAAACGTTTACCAGAGGGTATCTTCATTGTATCCTGTACGTATCCCACTTTATCCCTATGATTCTCCAACATTCATCCCACTTTTGACCCCCAAAAATCTGATTGCCCCCCATCTCGGCAGCGCAACGAGGTTGGCCTTGCCTCCAGATCCGTTAAGAAACTGGGCGCCCACTGCGCCACGACCAATGCCCTGAGAGTGGTGCGTGACCGATGAAATTCTGGATCAAAGATGATCATGGAATGGAACTCCATGGTAAATCTGGTTGGTGGTTTGGAACATGTTTTTTTTTTCCATATATTGGGAATTTCATCATCCCAACTGACAAACTCCATCATTTTTCAGAGGGGTAGGTATACCACCAGTAAATTATGGTGATTCCATGGTAAACTCGCTGATCAATCACCATTCCGTTGCAAATGAAGATGAAACTCAAAAGGCCATGGAAATCCAAAAGCCATTCGCATGGAATCAGCATCTTTTGTTGCCGGCTTCGATTTATGACGGAAGCGTTGAACATGTTTGTTGCTGGCTTGAAACCGGAGCAAAACAGTGGCAACAGTAACATCATGCTGACCCATGGCGCAACTTGACTGCGAAAACAGGTTCCAATTGCCACAGATGGGCTTGAGTGAAACGTGGAAAACCAAACCCTGATAATTGCATTCTCCATCTTGGGGACTCTTCCAATTGCCGAAATGCTGCTGATAAATGGGGAAACAGATGGTTTTTGGGGCCCGAAGGATTTCTCGAACACTTTGCAAACTTTTGATTCACTTTTGATTTTGGAATTCATACAGTCTTGAAGGACATGTTCCAAACATTTCCAAATCCCAGGGGGAAAAAAATCCAAAGAAAGTGTTTCTAAGATTGCAACATGTGGACTACTCGGTTGATGACTGAAAGTGGGATCTCCACAAACTCATGTTATTGATATGGGGGTTTCGATAAATGCGGGATCCCCAAAATAAATCAAAATCGCTGGTTTATTTCGTGGCACATCCATCCATTAAATGGATGAGAACTGGGGGTACCCCCACTTTAGGAAACCTCCATATGGTTATCGACATGTTTGCACTGTTTATGTTTATATACGTATTATAAGTTATAACTGTTATTATATAATGTAATTCAATATTCCAAGTCTTGCTATATTGCTCATTCATTTTGTTTGTATTGTACCTGGACCTTCAAAGTCACTGCCCACGAATACGAACAATGGCAAACAGCAAACACGATTCTTTGTGGTGGGACATAGTAATTCGAAACCTGTTTCCATCGTTGTTTTGAGGGTGGGTCAAGGTGCCATTTGAGGGTAGACTTGCCAAACTTCATCGGTCGTCAGATCTCAGTCAGTTGCTTCCAGAGTGATGCATGGCTCGACCCACCGCATCCATGAATCACCGCTTCTCTTGAACCAATCTCACTTTGTTGCTGAAATCATTTTCGATCCCATGTCCTGGATATTCTCAATCCCTTCTCCATGAAAACATATCTGGTTGGTGGTGTCAAACATTTTCTTCCATTTCATATATGGGATAATCATTGACTAATATTTTTCAAGATGGTTATTGCACCACCAACCAGATATGATCTCATATGGTCTCATATGTTGATTTTTCCAAAGAAAAACCACATGTTCTTTGGAATCCAAAGCCCGAGCCGTTGTTTTCGGGTTCCCAGGCTGGCAGCTGTTGGTTGTGCCGCAGCCGAAATGCTTCCTGCCCGGAGCCTGATGATGGGCGTCAGACTGGGAGAAATCCAACATCAATGGGCATTTCAGTAAGAAAATCATCTATACTGGTTGGTGGTTTGGAACATGAATTTTATGAATTTCCATATATTGGGAATGTCATCATCCCAACTGACAAACTCCATCATTTTTCAGAGGGATAGGTATACCACCAACCAGTACAAGTTGGGGATTTAAGTCATCTATGAACTAGGGATATTAAGTCACTTTCCATTGCCAAGTAGGATGTTCCATTCTTTTCCTGGTAGAAAATTCTGTTTGAACTCATCGAACTACATGGACAATGGGTGATTTTCCAGCTCACCATCTTTGATTAGCAGA